AACAATGCCACAATGAACATACATGTGCATGTGTCTTTATAACAAACTATTTATAATCCTTTGGATATATACCCAGTAATGGGATTGCTGGGTCAAATGGAATTTCTATTTCTAGGTCCTTGAGGAATCACCACACTATCTTCCACAGTGGTTGAACTAATTTACACTCCCACCAATAGTGTAAAAGTGATCCTATTTCTCCACATCCTCTCCAGCATCTCGTCTCCAGATTTTTAATGATCACCATTCTAACTGGCGTGAGATGGTATCTCAATGTGGTTTTGATTTGCATTTCTCTAATAACCAGTGATGATGAGAATTTTTTCATGTGTTTATTGACCTCATATATGTCTTCTTTTGAAAAGTTTCTGTTCATATCCTTCACCCACTTTTGAATGGGTTTGTTTTTTTCTTGTAAATCTGTTGTTGTTCTTTGTGGATCCTGGATATTAGCCCTTTGTCAGATGGGTAGATTGTAAAAATTTTTTCCCATTCTGTTGGTTGCTGGTTCACTCTAATAATTATTTCTTTTGCTGTGCAGAAGCTCTGGAATTTAATTAGATCCCATTTGTCTATTTTGCCTTTTGTTGCCAATGCTTTTGGTGTTTTAGTCATAAAGTCCTTGCCTATGCCTATGTCCTGAATGGTTTTCCCTAGGTTTTCTTCTAGAGTTTTTATGGTGTTAGGTCTTATGCTTAAGTCTTTAATCCATCTGGAGTTAATTTTAGTTTAAGATGTCAGGAAGGGGTCCAGTTTCTGCTTTCTGCACATGGCTAGCCAGTTTTCTCAACACCATTTATTAAACAGGGAATCCTTTCCCCATTGCTTGTTTTTGTCTGGTTTGTCAAAGATCAGATGGTTGTAGATGTGTGGCATTACTTCTGAGGCTTTTGTTCTGTTCCATTGGTCTATATATCTGTTTTGGTACCAGTACCATGCTGTTTTGATTACTGTAGCCTTGTAGTGTGGTTTGAAGTCAGGTAGCATGATGCCTCCAGCTTTATTCTTTTTGCTTAGAATTGACTTGGCTATGTGGGCTCCCTTTTGGTTCCATATGAATTTTAAGGTGGTTTTTTCCCATTCTGTGAAGAGGGTCATAGGTAGCTTGATGGGGATAGCATTGATTCTATAAATCACTTTGGGCAGTATGGCCATTTTCACAATATTGATTCTTCCTAACCATGAGCATAGAATGTTTTTCCATCTGTTTGTGTCCTCTCTTATTTCATTGAGTAGTGGTTTGTAGTTCTCCTTGAATAGGTCCTTTATGTTCTTTGTTAGTTGTATTCCTAGGTATTTTATTCTCTTTGTAGCAATTGTGAATGGCAGTTCGTTCTTGATTTCGCTGTCTTTGAGTCTGTTATTGGTGTATAGGAATGCTTGTGATTTTTGCACATTGATTTTTGTATCCTGAGACTTTGCTGAAGTTACTTATCAGTTTCAGGAGATTTTGGGCTGAGATGATAGGGTCTTATAAGTATACAATTAGGTAATCTGCAAATAGAGACAATTTGACTTCCTCCTTTCCTAATTGAAGACGCTTTACTTCTTTTTCTTGCCTGATTGCTCTGGCTAGAATTTCCAATACTATATTGAATAGGAGTGGTGAGAGAGGATATCCTTGTCTAATGCCAGATTTCAAAGGGAATGCTTCCAGTTTTTGCTCATTCAGTGTGATATTGGCTATGGGTTTGTCATAAATAGCTTTTATTATTTTGAGATATGTTCTGTCAATACCTAGTTTATTGAGAGTTTTTAGCATAAAGCACTGTTGAATTTTGTCAAAGGCCTTCTCTGCATCTATGGAGATAATCATGTGGTTTTTGTCTTTGGTTCTGTTTATGTAGTGAATTACATTTTTACACTTGCATATGTTGAACCAGCCTTGCATTCCTGGGTTGAAGCCTACTTGATTGTGATGGATAAGCTTTTTGATGGGCTGTTGCAATCAGTCTGCCAGTATTTTATGGAGGATTTTTGTATCTATGTTCATCATGGATATTGGCCTGAAGTTTTCTTTTCTTGTTGAGCCTCTGCCAAGTTTTGGTATTGGGATGATGTTGGTCTCATAAAATGATTTCGGAAGGATTCCCTGTTTTTGGATTGTTTGGAATAGTTTCAGAAGGAGTGGTACCAACTCCTCTTTGTATGTCTGGTAGAATTTGTCTGTGAACCCATCTGGACCTGGGCTTTTTTGGTTGGTAGGCTATTAATTGCTGCCTCAACTTCAGACCTTGTTACTGGTCTATTCAGGGTTTCAACTTCTTCCTGGGTTAGGCTTCGAAGGATGCAAATGTCCAGGAATTTATCCATTTCTTCCAGGTTTACTAGTTTATGTGCATAGAGTTGTTTGTAGTAATCTCTGATGGGGTTGTTCTTCTTCTTCTCCTCAAGAAGAGCAACCCCAAGGCACATAATTGTCAGGTTCAGCAGGGCTGAAATGAAGGAAAAAATGCTAAAGGAAGAACCAAAGACAAAAACCACATGATTATCTCCATAGATGCAGAGAAGGCCTTTGACAAAATTCAACAGTGCTTTATGCTAAAAACTCCTTTTGTATTTCTGTGGAATTGGTGGTGGTATCCCCTTTATCATTTTTTATTGCATCTATTTGATTCTTCTCTGTTTTCTTTTTTATTAATCTGGCTAGTGGTCTGTCTATTTTGTTGATCTTGTCAAAGAACAAGCTCCTGGATTTATTAATTTTTTGAAGGGTTTTTTGTGTCTCTATCTCCTTCAGTTCTGCTCTGATCTTAGTTATTTCTTGTCTTTGCTAGTTTTTGAGTGTTTTTGATCTTGCTCCTCTAGCTCTTTCAATTTTGATGATCGGGTGTCAATTTTAGATCTTTTCTTGGTTCTCATGTGGGCATTTATTGCTATAAATTTTCCTCTAGACACTGCTTTAAATGTGTCCCAAGATTCTGGTACATTGTGTCTTCATTCTCATTGGTTTCAAAGGACATCTTTATTTCTCCCTTCATTTCATTGTTTATCCAGTCAACATTCAAGAGCAAGTTGTTCAGTTTCCATGAAGCTGTGCGGTTCTGGGTTAGTTTTTGAATTCTGAGTTCTAACTTGATTGCACTGTGGTCTGAGAGACTGTTTGTTATGATTTCCATTCTTTTGCATTTGCTGAGGAGTGATTTACTCCCAATTATGTGGTCAATTTTAGAGTAGGTGTGATGTGGTGCTGAGAAGAATGTATATTCTGTGGATTTGGGGTGGAGAGTTCTGTAAATGCCTATTAGGTTTGCTTGGTCCAGATCTGAGTTCAAGTCCCGAATATCCTTGTTAATTTTCTGTCTTGTTGATCTGTCTAATATTGAGAGTGGAGTGTTAAAGTCTCCCACTATCATTGTGTGGGAGTCTAAGTCTCTTTGTAGGTCATTAAGAACTTGTTTTATGTATCTGGGTGCTCCTATATTGGGTGCATATATATTTAGGATCATTAGGTCTTCTTGTTGCATTGATCCTTTTATGATTATGTAAAGCCTTTCTTTGTCTCTCTTGATCTTTGTTGGTTTAAAGTCTGTTTTATCGGAGAGTAGGATTGCAACTCCTGCTTTTTTTTGCTCTCCATCTGCTTGGTAAATCTTCCTCCATCTCTTTATTTTGAGCCTTTGTGTATCTTTCCATATGAGATGGGTTTCCTGGATCCAGCACACTGATGGGTCTTGACTTTTTATCCAATTTGCCAGTCTGTGTCTTTTGATTGGGGCATTTAGCCCATTTACATTTAAGGTTAATATTGTTATGTGGGAATCTGATCCTGCCATTTTGATGCTAGCTGGTTGTTTTGCCCATTAGTAGACACAGTTTCTTCATTGTGTCAATGCACTTTACCATTTGGCACATTTTTGGAGTGGCTGGTACTGGTTGTTCCTTTCTATGTTTAGTGCTTTTTTCAGGAGCTCTTGTAAAGTAGGCCTGGTGGTGACAAAATCTCTGAGTACTTGCTTGTTTGCAAAGGATTTTATTTTTCCTTCATTTATGAAGCTTAGTTTGGCTGGATATGTTATTTTGGGTTGAAAGTTCTTTTCTTTAAGGATGTTGAATATTGACCCCCACTTTCTTCTGGCTTATAGGGTTCCTGCTGAGAGATCCACTGTGAGGCCGATGGGCTTCCCTTTGTGGGTAACCCCACCTTTCTCTCTGGCTTCCTTTAGCATTTTTTCCTTCATTTCAGCCCTGCTGAACCTGACAATTATGTGCCTTGGGGTTGCTCTTCTTGAGGAATATCTTTGTGGTGTTCTCTGTATTTCTTGGACTTTAATATTGGCCTGCCTTGCTAGGTTGGGGAAGTTCTCCTGGATAATATCCTGAAGAATGTTTTCCAGCTTGGATTTATTCTCTCCATCTCATTCAGGTACACCTATCAAATGCAGATTAGGTCCTTTCAAATAATCCCATATTTCTTGGCAGCTTTGTTCATTTCTTTTCATTCTTTTTTCTCTAATCTTGACTTCTCATTTTATTTCATTAATTTGATCTTCAATCTCTGATATCCTTTCTTCTGCTTGGTCAATTCGGCTATTGAAACTTATGTATGCTTCGCAAAGTTCTGGTGTTGTGTTTTTCAGCTCCATCAATTCATTTATATTCTTTCTAAGCTGCTTATTCTCGTTAGCATTTCATCAAACCTTTTTTCAAGGTTCTTAGTTTCTTTGCATTGGGTTAGAACATGTTCTTTTAGTTCAGAGAAGTTTGTTATTACCCACTTTCTGAAGTCTGTTTCTGTCAGTTCATCAGATTCATTCTCCATCCAGTCTTGTTTCCTTGCTGATGAGTTGTGATCCCTTGGAGGAAAGGTGTTCTGGTTTTGAGTGTTTTCATCCTTTTTGTGCTGGTTTCTTCCCATCTTACTGGCTTTATCTACCTATGGTCTTTGTAGTTGGTGACTTCCGGATGGGGTCTCTGAGCAGATGTCCTCTTTGTTGATGATGAAGTTATTTCCTTCTGTTTCTTAGTTTTCCTTCTAACAGTCAGGCTCCTCTGCTTTAGGACTGCTGGAGGTCCACTCCAGACCCTGCTTGCCTGGGGATCACCTGCAGCAGCTGCAGAACAGGAAGGGTTGCTGTGGAACAGGAAGAGTTGCTGTGGGGACACAGCCAAACCATATCATTATCCAAAGGAAAAGAAATCATTATATCAAAAAGATACCTGCACTCATCTGTTTATAACAGCAATATTCACAGTAGCAAAGATGTGGAATCAACCTAAGTGTCCATCAACAGATGATTAGATGAAGAAATGTGGTATATATACACCATGAAATAGTAGTCAGCCATAAAAAAGAATAAAATTGTGTCTTTTGCAGCAGCATAGATGGAACTAGAGGCCATTGTCTTAAGTGAAATAACTCAAACAGAAAGTCAAATATTGCATGTCCTCACTTATAAGTGGGAGCTAAATAATGTGGTCACATGGACATAGAGTGTGGAATAATTGACAGTGGAGACTCAGAAGGGTAGAAGGAGGTAAAGGATGAGAAATTTCTTAATGCACAAAATGTATATAATTCAGGTGATTATTTTACTAAAAGCCCAGACTTCACCTCTACACAATATAACCATGAAACAAAGTTGCACTTACACCCGTTAATTTTTTTTTTTTTTTAACATAGAGCCTTGCTTTTGTCCCCTAGGCTGGAGTGAAATGGCAAGATTTCGGCTCACTGCAACTTCTGCCTCCTGGGTTCAAGCAATTCTCCTGCCTCAGCCTTCTGAGCAGCTGGGAATACAGCTGCCTGCCACCAGGTCCAGCTAATATTTGTATTTGAGTAGAGATGGGGATTCGCCTTGTTGGCCAGTCTGGTCTCGAACTCCTGACCTCAGGTGACCCACTTGCCTTGGCCTCCCAAACTTCCTTAAATTTATACAAATAAAAAATATATTCATTATGTCTCTATAAATATGAGCATGTTTATACTTTATTGTTTATAAATTATTATAATTATATCGTTTATTGATTAGTAAATTTGATATTAATTGTTAACTATTCATGACATCTTTATAAGTATTAGTATACAAATTTTAAAATAAGAAGGGTAGAGAAATAAAAAATATGACTGAGGGCACATCAGAGGCAAAAAATTGGGGAAACAGAAATGAGGAAGAAGGAGGGTGGGTAGCTGGGTGGATAGGAGCAAGCTCCAGGCCATTTTGTTCTTCTGGCATCATCTCAGCTGGTGGCAGCAGCCAATTTCTCATTCAATGTCATTCTCTATCTGGCCCAAGCAGGGCCAGTGCCTTTCCCTTACAGGAGCATCTTCTCTTGGGAATAGTTCATATTCCAATGCAAAAAAAAAAAAAGTGATTGTTTATCCTCTCAAAATATGAACAAAGAAAAACTAAGGGTGGGAACAGAGATTTGCAAATGAAAGCCAGATTGCAGCCTCTTAAGAGTTTTCAAAAGATGATATCATCACCATTCTATGTACTAACAAGCTCTTGACTATCAGTACTATTTCCATTCTTATAATTACAACAACCTTTTCAAGCTAGCAGAGCTGTGAGCCTCTGATCCCAGTGGGGCTGAGAGTTACTTCCTTCCAGCAGAAAATCCCCATGTCTATAGACAAAACAAATAAAGTGCTATATGTACTGGTTTCAAATGTATGTAAACACTTTGTAAATCATAAAACGTAAGGTTATGTAAGGCATTACTAAATTTAATCCATTTTTATCTTTACATTTTTTCTGAGTGATTTGACATAAAAAGTATAACTACTACAAAGCAGATACACTGAAAAGGTCATATTTACTCTCTTTAACTCAGCTTAATTCCAATTCTGAGTTCCCATCCCTCTGGACAGGCAGGAAATTCAAATGGTTTTTCCCCGAGCTCCCGTCACCCAGAGGCAAGGCCAGTGTTCACTCATCAGTTCTCATTCAATCTCCCCAGAGGTTTCATCAGATGCGGAAATCTTCAGTGAGTCTGGGTAGCAGATGCCTGGGGTCCAGCCCCACTGGGTGCAGCTGACAGCTTCTAAGGGCATGCACCTGTTAAGGCCAGCACCACAGAGCTCCGACCTCCTGCCAGCCTCCTGACTTCTCCTTACTCTAGGCTTTACATAAGAAGGAAATAAATCATATATGGGAACAAACTCAACATGTCTATCAATTACGTACTATCATCTTGAATCGGTAGGGGCCTAATAAGAAGACAAAAGAAATCACACAAGAGTTTTAACAGGGAAAGTTTAATGCAAAGAATTGTTAATTAAAACAGAGGATTAACTACATCCCAGAGATAAATAGAACATAGGGACAAAGAGGGGGTTTAATAAATATTTCACTGAAAATTTGATGAAGTGTCATATATGAACTTTTGTAGTTATAGGGGTAAGGAGAACTCTAAAGAATCCCCAAGGAGAGTACTCAATGAAAAACAAAGGTAAAAAGGAGAGGACCCACTTCTCCAAGGCTGGGATTCAGATCTCACTGGAAGAGGTGTGCTTGCAGCTCACAGGCTGGTGGAGAAAACCTCTGGGTTTTCCTGAGCCAGAGCCAGTCCACCTGGGCTAGGCAGAGGGTGGCAGGCAGAGTAACATGAGCTGGGACTGGCAGGCTAGAAGCCTCCCACTGGTTGCTAGTAGTCCAAGCTATGGGCAAGGAGCTGCAGCTGGAACTGGCAATCAGGAAACACCCTGCTAAGGTGAAGGAGGCTCAAGGCTGAGCAGCTGACCACTAAGGTGCCTGCTAGCCTCACTGAGAATCTGCCTGTGGGGTGCCCCTGAAGCTCAATGAAGGTGAGCACCACTGGATGTCCTCCACTCGTGCCACTGGCTACCACAGTAGGATTTAAAAGAAACAGACAAAACCAGAACACTGGAACATGGAAGTGATGATGCCCATTCTTCTTTCCTGCCCATCTAGCGCCCTCTGTTGACAGAGCTTAACAACATGCCAGCTGCAAAGGGGAGATACTCACAAGGCCCAGCTCCATTATCATAGAGCAGGCAATGAAGGATGGGGTTAGAGCTGAGAGGCCATAACTAGGTACTGACACACCTATAAAGAGATCTAAAAATATCTTGTGTTACAAACAAGTCTTCATGTTCAAAGCATTCATTACAGACTTTCCATCCTGTTGTGTATGTCTGAGCTCAGGTGGACATCATCTCTATGAACCACCATCTCTTCCCAGAAAGACCTACACCACAGACTCCTATTTTCTTTTCCAGGACCTAGTACTTGTCCCACCCTTCTCCCAGGGACCAGCCTGTTACATGGACCAGATGCCCAAGAATCCAACATATTTAATAAATATGCAACTTGAGGATTAAAAGGCAAAGATTACAAAAGCTCATATATGACACTTAATCAAATTTTCAGTGAAATATTTATTAAATCTCTTCTCTGGTACAGTTGCTCTATAAATATAACTTCCAAAAGTAACTTACATGCTGGAATATATGCTCTGGCAAGAAATAAAATTGAATTATGTTAAACTGCTGCAGCCATCCACAAAGAACATACTTCATCATTACATATTATGCATCCACATAACCAAATGTATCATATTAGTTCTAATGGAAATAAAGTAAATTTTTGGCACTTCTTATAATTTGACTTAAAAGTCTCCACTGAGTTACAAAATGCTTAGAAATTTTATTCAGAGATATAAATATTGCACATAGAGAGAAAAATTTGCAAATGATACAGTCCTAAGCCACAAAGGGCGGAAATAGAGATTTCAAAGTTAGAATTAACAAAAGTTTTCAATGAAGTGACAAGTAAGAAAAACATTTAAACTACTTTCCCATATACCAGCAAAAAAAAAAAAAAATTAAGATATAATGAAAAAAGATGTTATTTTATGAAAGTATCAGTAATGGTAAATACTTAAAAAAAAACCCTCTATACCTTTTGCAAGAATAACTAGTGCCCAAAGGGCACTGGTAAGATGATAATGCTTGAGCCAGTGCCTGATACACAGCAGACTCCCCAAAACATTTACTTCAGTTGACTGAAATTGAAAACTTAAGACATTTTGGCAAACTGACTTTGATTTATCCAACCATATTTAAAGATAAGCAGAGTTAACCTTTAGTAAATATGACATCTGCAAAGTGTTGTCCACGAGGATCTATGCTTGACAATGTTGTTAGGGGCTGGCTCCCTTTGATAAAGGAGAATTGCCTGTGGCGTGTGACTGAAATAGCACGCGTGCAATGTTGAGTGGAATGTCACCTCACCGCCCAAAAAGGCCAGCGCCATTGCCTGGGCGGAACATGTGAGTTGGGATGCAGGGGAGGGCGTGCAGGAATCTTTATTAAGCTAGGAAGAAAACCAGACTTGTGGGACATTGTGGAAGCTGATGGAGAGCCCATCGAATCAGAAGCTGTGCGCCTGTGCCCGCAGCAGCCTAAGAGGCAGGGCTCCTCACCTGTCAGGACTGTGAAGTGCATCTAGACGCACTGACACGGTGTGCAGTGGGCAGGCTTGTCTAGAGTATGGGTCAAACTCCAGGCTTCTCCAAACTTCGCTCGTCTATGGATGCAAACAAGATCACATTGATCATAAGAATTCCAAGCCGCGCTGGGGCTGGCCTACACTTCCCAACACAAGACGCACCCCAGCCCCAACCTCCGAATCCCACCAAACCCCCAACTTCGACCCCCAGCCCTGCCCACCCACAGACTTCCCCCTCACTCCCAGGCTTCCTATTTCCTGGGGTCCCTCGGGGTCTCTCACATGTGCCATAAAAAGCCCACCCCTCCCCTGCACGCTGGCTGTTGCCCGGAAGCACCTCTCCCCTCCAGAGATGGAGACCCGGAATCCTGCTTCCCCTCCTGCTGAAGGTGAGCGTTCTCCCAGACTCAGCAAACATGCTAGCCTCACATCTCCCATCGTCAGTTCGCCAACATACCCAGGCTCCAGTGTGGTCAAAGTTCAGATTCTATCCCAGGGGGCACCTCTTGGGTGGGGACTCCACAAAGGGACTGAAAGGATTGGCTTCCTTCCCCACCGCACCCACGGCCATCAGCAGCTGCCCTCTTCTGCATTCTTTGATCAGCAAAAGAAGTTTCATCTGAATCTTGTAGGAAGCGCTACACACACGCAGCTGTCGGACATACCTGCCTCCCCACTATGCACTTCCAGCTTGGAGGCCATCCTTAGCATCCTCCTACTTAAAATTCTGGCATCTCTGCCTCCCAGGATTCTCATCCCAACCCTACCATAAAGGCTTCTATGGGGCCCATCCTATTTGGTGATAGATTTGTAGGGACACATCTCTGCCATAGATTCCAACCAGGACCTTCCAACACCTGCAGCATAATGTCCCGCCAGCCACTACTAGATGCTTTCTGAAAGAGCAGATAGGCAGGAAAGCAACCACCTCCCAAAGTCTTGCTCCCTCTCTAATGGCATTTCTAAGGTGGAACCTATAAGAAAAAGAATTTTATAATAACAACAAGCTGGAAAAGAGACTGAATATTTAAAGGGTAAGAAGTTCTCAAGAATTGCTCATATATAAATTTTCATTTGGCATTTCCAGAGACGTGCCCTCTATTTACAGTAGGAAGAATTAGGCAAAAGGGTCATCTGCATTTGATCCAAAGTGAGGACCTGAGTTACCTGGGCAGGTTTTTTGTTAGATTCAAGTTTTTCGGATCATTTTTTCATTTTGGGGGATGAGTTGGTTGATTGGCTGATATTTTCCGTGGAGGCTAGTTTAGTTTTGACAGTGCAACCATGCTTATGGGTGCTAGCTTTACAAAACAAACAAAAACAAAAAAACTCAGTGACTCAGGGCTCAGGGCTCAGAAGGGAACATAAATATATTTACCCACCCCTCAAACTTCTAGCACAGACATTAAGGGATTATTTTCCCGTGAAACATCCTAAAAAACAAAAAAGGAAAAAAAGAAGGGATGGTTGGAGGGAGAGAGAGTAACAAGGAGAGAAAGAGAAAAAAGAGAGAAAGGAAAATAAAAGAAAGACAGAGAGAGAGAGAGTATTCATTTGTGAGGATTTTTTTTAGATAGGAGTGGGGAGACTTCTTTTAAAAATCATTAAATATGTATATATTCCAAAAGCATAAACAGATGTTGAAATAGGATTAAGAATTTAGCAATTTGCTCTTTTAGAACTTTAGCCCTGTGTATACAAGACTTCTGGGTGGGGAGAGAGAGAGAGAGAGAGAGAGAGAGAGAGAGAGAGAAAGAGAGAGAATTGGATCTAAATTCAGAATAGGCAGTTGATTGGCACAGTCAGAACATTAAAATAAAAGTAGGATTTGTTCTAAACACAGAGGAAATGTTTGGAATAATAGAATTATACTCAGCAAAGAAATAAGAGCACAGCTGTTACATATTCATATTTGAAACACATTACTGCTTTGGGATTTACTTTTTACTGGGCTTTATAAATTGTGAAACCCAGGATTAATTGTCATTCTACTTGACAACGATTTTCTTCTTTTGCTAAAACCCAGGCAGCTTTTGCTCATAGAGGAGCTCTCAACAGAGCAGTCAGCTCCTGAAAGTTGATCATGGCCTCCCCAGCTACAGTACAACACGGTGTATCAAGCATTTAACTACAGTTTCTTTGTCCATAACCCTTCTATGAAGCTAAGTAAAGTGGAAAAATAAGAGTACCTACCTCTTAAGGTTGTTGTGAGGACAAAATGGGTTAACAGCTGTGCAGCACATGGCTCTGTGCCCGACACGTAACAGACACCCAATAAATACTAGTTCTAACCTTACTCCTCCTGTCTGGCTACTGTATTTCAAAATTCTTCAAGATCATTCACAGCATTTTCCAACACTTTCTACAAAAGTGGAAAATCTCAGCAATCAGAAGCTACAAAATCTTTTTAAATTTTTTTAACTTTTTTTTTTTGAGACAGGGTCTTGCTTTGTCACTCAGGCTAGAACGCAGTGGCATGATGATCTAAACTCACTGCAGCCTCAACTTCCAGGGCTCCAGCCACCCTCTCACCTCACCTTCCTAAGTGGCTGGGACTACAGGCATGTGCCACCATGTCAGGCTTTTGTTTATTTTCAGTAAAAATGAGGTCTTGCTACTTTGCCCAGGCTGGTCTCAAACTCCTGACCCCAAATGACTCTCCTGCCTTGGCCTCCCAAAGCACTGGGATTACAGGAACGAGCCTGGCCATCATCCAAAAATGTCACATATCCCATAAGTGAAACATCTATCATAAAGGAGAGCTTTAAGCAACGTAGATGCACAAGTATCTGTAAGCCATCATCCAGAAGAAAATATCAAGCAACTGTCAAATAGGCTGTTTCTAAACTCCACCATATCCCGTTAGCCACATCATTCACCAGTTTGGGAAATTAATCATCTCACCATTGTGGCATAACGGGTGATGTACATTCCTGTTAAAATCACTCCAAAGGACTTTATCCAGTCATTTAAAAACAGGCACTAGGATCACTTGAGGCCTAATGGGATAGGAGTTCGAGACCAGCTGTGCCAACATGGTGAAACCCAATCTCAACTAAAAAAAAAATACAAAATTAACTAGGCATGGTGGCACATTCCTGTAATTTCAGCTACAAGGGAGGCTGAGGCACAAGAATTGCTTGAACTAGGGAGGCAGATTTTGCAGTGAGTCGATATGGAGGCATTGCACTCCAGCCTCGGTGACAGAATGAGACTCCGTCTAAAAAAAGAAAAAAAAAAAAAACAGGCATTAATTGGCCACTTTAAGGGGATCAGACACATTAATACACTCGATGGTTTCCTGTGTTATCAGACTTTATGGGGCTGTCTGTTGACCCAAGGATTCTGACATATCTCAGTGTGGCTTCAGCGCTCTTCAGGACTCACAAGCCTCCTGGAGAAAGACTTATCCTTAAGGAGAAGGGAATCAGTGTTCAAAGCTTGGCCAAAGAAAAACCCCTTAGCCTTAAAGGAAAGTGCAGTTATGAATACAGCCCCTCTCTCTAACTGTCCTCCAAAGAGCTCTCAAGGCCAGACTTTCCTGAGACCTAAAGAGAGCAGGACCTTGAATAGAACTGACATCTCTATGAAAATCTGGGAAGATACTGAGACACAGCTGTCTTCAGATCACGTAAATTGGGCAGATCCACTGCCCCTCTGAAACAATGGCTCCAGACGTCCTTGGGTAATGAACAAGAGGAATCACAGAGACCATCTGGCTGGCAGAATCTTAGGAGAAACATACTATGAGAGTCAAGAAATATTTGAGGGTTTCTTACATCGTTTGTGAACTCCAAAATTACGGTAACATCTTCGACCATCTTACAAGTATTTCATCATCGTCTCAGCAAACACTGTGACTGTGACTAGGGACCAAAAGGCAGGGAACAGATCCTCACAGATATCATTAACATATAATTTATCATCCAACCCAGGAAACTTCTGAAGCTGTAAAGGGACACTACCAAGAATGATACCAGTACAGCAGGTATAAGCCAGGACTGATGAAGGGAAGCCGGCACACGTGATCGCCCCATGAATCTACAGGCTGTCGAGGGAAAGCTTGAATCTTGAACTTCAGCCTTTTGTTCTCATCAGTTTGTTTTTTTCCTGTCTCAGCTCTTGCTCTTGTATGCACATCTTTAGTCAAATAAAATATGCAGGCTGGTCAGGTGTGGTGGCTCACGCCTGGAATCCCAGCACTTTGGGAGGCGGAGGTGGGTGGATCACAAGGTCTGGAGATCGAGACCAGCCTGGCCAACATGGTGAAACCCTGTCTCTACTAAAAATACAAAACTTAGCTGGGCGTGGTGGTGCGTGCCTGTAATCCCAGCTACTTGGGAGGCTGAGGCAGGAGAATTGCTTAAACCAGGGAATCAGAGGTTGCAGTGAGCCAAGATCATGCCATTGCGCTCCAGCCTGGTGACAGAGCAAGACTCCGTCTCAAAAAAGAAAAGCAAAAGAAAATATGTAGACTTTCCTAGACATCTTAACCTGCCCAAGCTAGAAAATCCCTAAATAATAGTCCTATATACATACATTATTTTTATTTTTTGAGACAGGGTCCTGCTCTGTCACTTAGTTTGGGGTGCAGTGACACAATCTCGGCTCACAACAGCTTTGACCTCCCAGGCTCAAGCCATCTTCCTGCTGCAGAGCCCCCAAGGAGCTGAGACTACAGGTGCACACCACCACGCCTGGCTAGTTGTAGAGACGGGGTTTTGCTGTGTTGCCCAGTCTGGTCTCGAACTCAGCTCCTCAACTCAAGCAGTCCACCTGCCTCAGCCTCCCAAAGTGCTGAGATTGTAGGCGTAGGTCAACATGCCCAGCTTCCAAAAAACAGTTTTTAAATGCAAGGCACCATCCTAGATGTTAGGTGACATGTGACTTGGCTCTTGGAGTTTGCACTCAGTGAGGGAGGCAGATGATGACGAGGTGGCAAATAAATTGTTGAAGAGGTGCCTGATTAAGGTATTGCCTCTGGGCATGGAAGAGTCTACTTTATTTATTTATTTATTTTTACTTAATTTTTTCTTTCTTTTTTTTTCTTTTTTTTTTTCTTTTTTTTGAGTCATAGT